TCTTTTATACTGTATTTGAGACTTTTATCAATAATGTTTATCTCACAATTCCTCAGGTAGTTTGATACATTTTTGCCATGAATCTCCATTAGAAGATGCATTTAGTGTTTCTGTTTATTATTTCTAAATTTCAAATGGGGTAAACAAACAGACAAATACATAAAAACCTCTTCCTATAAGAGAATGAATGACTTTTTTCTTTCTGGTGGAGAATTCACAAACTTCATTTTGGTCAATATTTAATCAATGTTTTGCATATAGTATTGCAATTGCAGGCTAGTTTTGACAGAGACTTTCACTTTAGGAACGTATGATTTGATTGTTAAAATATTTATTATTTATTTTTATTTGAAAGGCAGACAGAGCTGAGCCAATCTGAAGCCAGGAACCTGAAGCCTCAGGTGGGTTCAGGGCCCCAAGCCTTTAGGCCATCCTCCACTGCTTTCCCAGGCCACAGGCAGGGAGCTGGTAGGGAAGCAGAACAGTTGGGACATGAACTGGCACCCATATGGGAAACAGGCACTTGCAGGTGGAGGACTAGACTGTTGAGACATTATGCCAGTCAAATTATTTGAATTTTTAAAGATTTCCCTTATCCATAACATATTGTGTTTCCTCAGTCTATTTCATGTTCCACTAAATTTAGATGGATTTTGTAATATGAGGCACAAGCTGGAATCTTTTGAAATAAGTTGCAATTAATGATCATCTCTGATTACTAGATTAAATAAGGACCATCCTGGGAAAACTGAGTATATCAGATAAACTGGAGCACATTATCTCCTTAATTAAGCATTAGTTCTATTACATACATTTTAAGTATTACAGTTATTAGGGAGTATGTTGTGTTAAATGTAATTGTTTTTGCTGCCTAGTTTATGCCAGGCACTATAATAAAAGTGTGCATAGATTTTAGTAAAGGAAATAGAATATATACATAATCACATTATGCAAATGTGTATAGTATAATGAATAGTGGACAGGGAGCCAGGAGACCTCCATTTGAACATTACTGTTGAAATTTAATCACTCTATTTAATGACTGGCTGATTATCTTTATGGTGTTATCTGCTCTCACTATTTAATCAGTATTTAGCCCCTAGATCCAATTGTTCACTAAGGGTTTGGATTTATTTATGACTTCTCAAAATTCATTTTTTCTTTTGTTTCCTCAAGTAGTCAAAGATGTAAAGATTTAATTAAAAACAGTAACATTGATTGTCCTTCATATCCCAACTCTGACATTATCCTGTTTCACTTTATAGATGTGCATATTGGTTGCTTAGAAGGGAACAAAAAATAGAAAACACCTCTATAGTGCTGTAAAGAAAAGCCGACTAGAATATTATATTCCAAGACCCCTGTTTTGTTGCCTAACACATAAAAAATAATAAAGCATATCTATCTAGCACCTACTAAAATTTTCATTACTTCTCAGCATCAAATCTTAATAGTTAAACTGTATTAATCTCTAGCTTCTTTTCCAGAACAAACAATATATTCTTTTTCTCATGTTGCGCTAGCATAATGGTGTTATTTAAATACAAAATGATATTAAGGCACCAGAGCCAATATTCATGTAATTTGAATTACTTTGCTAACACTACTGATTAATTTTTAGGTGAACCAGTCGAATTCTCCAACTCATTTCTGGTCAAGAAATAACATGTTGACATTTGACAAATGGCAAAGACCAACAGTCAGCTGTGGATTCTGCACTGACTCACTTGGGATTTAAACCATGATCTTGGCCTCATTATCATGCTGCTATAATCGTTTGAGGAAAATAGCTACAAAAATAAATTCTGAAAAAAGGAAATAAAATTTCTGCTCTTTCTGTCTCCAAGCCTAAACCAATGTACAGCTGTGTGCTTTGAGTAATTCTCTTAGCAGGTGTTTTATATATGGGTAATGAGCTGAAAGCAGGAAATCCTCCTGAAATCTAAGCTGATCATGTCAGTTCTCCACCTGACAAAACTCCACTATCTAATAAGATGAGTTTGACTTCTTCGGCATAGCCTGAGACTGCAGTGTAATCTTGCTACAATCCATTTATCCAGATTTTGCTGCAACTCCTGCCTCCTTTTACAGTGAAGTGATTTTCTGACCATGTTCTGATTATGCATGTATTCATTCAGCCTACTCTTATTTAATGCCCATAATGTATGAGGCATGGTCAACTTGAGGAGTAGACAGGGACATAAATGGCAACAACACACTAGGACAAGTGTTATTATATAAGCAAAGTATGTACAATGGCAAGAGAGCCTGGAGAAAGCAGATGGAAGGAGGACAAAGGGACGCATGAGCTTACGGTAAAGACACGGTAGTGAACGGACTGAGGGAGCAGAGAAGGTCTAAGCCATTCAGTAGAGTAGATGGTCACGGCTTAAGAGGGACATGTTCACAGGCTGGGTTGGAGGTAATGCTAGAGCTAGGCAGGAACTGAATCCCAAACTCTGGCTTCGCAAATACTTTATATCTAACTTTCTTCACACCTCTGGTCAATGCTTTTGAGAATGCTTTGTTCCTTTCTCTTGCCCAACTGAAACCAACAAGTATGATGAATTTAGTTACCCAGAAATTCATTCAATAGATATTTGCTGTAAAATCTTTCCAGAGACCAGGCATTGTTCTAGGTGTTTGGACATATTAGTTGAATTCATGCTGTCTGCTTCTTTTTCTGACTCTTTGGGAGAAACAGATTGTCAATGATAAACATAACAAACTGGCGCATTATTCAACTGGGTGTAAGAATACAAATACAAATACAACTGTCAAACAGTGGTAAGTGCTATGGAAAAAGAAAAAAGTAAGGGGAGTTAAGGCAGGTTGGAGTAACTAGTGTGAATTGGCTAGTTTACTTTAGGTTGGTTCATATACTGTGGAACATGCCCCAGTAAAACACAAAGCCGTATAGGACACAATGAGATGGGATGAACACATAAGGCCTGAGGGTGAGGGGCAGGAAACACAGACATTTAAGCTTAGAAATCACAAGAGAAGAATTCTAAGGACTGCTTTGTCCCCAGCGCTCTGAAATTGGGAGCTAGCCAACCCGTACCTGGGGGAACAGTGAGGGAGGAGGGGTAGGATTTACTACACTCCAGGAAGGTAAATACACAATACAAGCCCCAGAGGCTTTACATTACTCATCAATCTAGAATCTGGTACTACACAGCGCCGGAGGAGGCAGGGGATAGGGGTGTGTACAAACACATACTCACACCCACCCACAACTTTGTCACTCCCGGAGCCGGGGAGAGCATCCGAGAGAGGGATCCACCCGCATTCCTGACCACTCCCGCCTCGCTCGGAGCAGCGCGCCCGCTCCCCGCCCCGCCTCCACCAACAGGGCAGCCGGTGCTGCACTCGGCCCTGTGCCCGTCCCGGGGGAGGCCAGGGCAGCCACCTCCCTCCTCCTGGAGTCCGCTGCTACGAAAATTCAGCCTCGGCCTGGAACCCTAACCGGCTCCTTTCTCCCCTAAAGTGGACGCCACTAAGGGCCACGCAGCCAGAGGCCCTTGGGCCCTCGCTCCGGCTCACCCTGTCTCCGGACCACCCTAAGTCTGTCTGTAAACCCTCAGAGCTCCCTAAACCCTGACTCTCTGGGTCTCACTTTGGCGCTCTCCTTTCCCTCAGCTCTCTGCAAGCATTCCCCGCCACTGCCCCCTTCCCAGCACTTTCTCGCTCCAGCCTCGGGTCCAAGTCCACAACACCTGCACTGCCCACAGGCCTGTACTTCCCCCAGTCCCTCAGGTAGCAACCCCCCCCCCCCCCCCCCGCGGCTCTGACACCCCAAGGGACCCTCCCACACGTTCGCATCCTCCGGTTCCCAGGCCCCCCTCACACTCCCTACGTCCCGGGGTCGGATACCTGGGCGCTCCTCCCCCATTCACCGCCCCCGGGGTACCTCGTCACACTATGACACTTCTTGACAGTCACATTCTACCCTCCCGCTCAGGTGCCCAATTCTCCAATCCCCTCCAACCCTGACACGCACCCCCATCTGTCACACCTGGCAGCCCTCACAGGCACTCACATTCTCGCCCCCTCCCCGTGCACACGCCTCGGACTCCCCTCACGCGCACAATCGCCACACCTCCATCTTCCAAACTCTGGCGCCTCTCTCTCTCTCTAGCCAGAGTTCCCCTCCCGCCCCCAGGTCGCGCCCAGGAGGAGTGGCCGCGGCCCGCCCGCCCTGGCCCGGCCTGGGCTGCCGCGAGGTGACGCGGCCCCCGCGGGAAGAGCCTGGGAGGCGGAGGGGCGGAGGCGGCGTGGGCAGCGGCACTGAGCAGCGGCGGCAGCGCAGGGAGCTGGCCTTCCGCGGCGACTCCACCGACCCAAGGGGGCAGCGGTGGCGTCTGAGGGGCCCCCTGGCGCGCGCGTCCTGAGGAGGGGGTCCGCGCCCGACCCTGCTACGCCGGCGGAGCTCGCTAGGATCCGGGCGTTGGCAACCGAGCGGCCCTGGCTGGCCCTGACACTCTCCGCTTCCAGCCTCTGTCCTTCCTGCTCCGCTTTCTTTCGCTTCTGCAGTCTAGCCCGGAGTCGGGGGTTGTGTGTTTGTGTGTGTGTGTGTATATATATGTGTGTAGGGGGGTCTTCCCTCCGCGGCGCGCGGGAGCCCCGTGACGCGCCAGCCGGCGGGACGGCTGAGCTGCTTTCTCTGGGAAATCGCCTTTGCTTCCTCACGCTCCCCCGGCCGCTCCCGCCGCCTCCGCGCCCCTCGGGCCCGCGGGACGCCGCCTCCCGGCGCGGCGAGCCGGCTCCTCGGTCTCCCCCGGGGGCCCCGCTTCGCAGGCACTCCTTTCTCCTGCGAGGCGGCGCGCGTCCCCCGCCCACGCCCCGGCTGGGTACACGAGCGCCCCGGGCCGCGCGCCGCCCTCCCGCCGGCTCTCTCCAGTCACCCCACCCTGAGCTGTCCCCGCCACCTTACTCCACCACCCTCCCTCCCTCCACGCTCGCGCACTCCGCGTCCCGGCCTCCGGCTCGCCTCTTCCCCTGAACCGCTCACTTGCCAGCCCTTCGCCCCCGGGAAGAAGAAACATTTTCCCGGAGCGCACTCCTCGGTGCCCGCCCCCCCACCCGCCTCCCCCTCGAGTCGGCGCTCGCCCTCCCCTCCCCCCTGCTCTTTCTTTCTTGGGGGAGGGGGGCTGTGGCCTCGGATTGAAGGCCATTGATTTGTATGTATTTGTCCCAGCGCCGGAGGCTGCCCCAGCCGCCCGTGCAGGTGCCGCCGCTGCCAGTGGAGTTGCCTCCCTGCTTCCCTAGGGTGGTGCGGCTCCACCAAACATGTCGGCTCCTGTCGGGCCCCGGGGCCGCCCGGCTCCCACCCAGGCGGGTTCGCAACCGCCGCCGCAGCCCGAGATGCCCGACCTCAGCCACCTCACTGAGGAGGAGAGGAAAATCATCCTCGCTGTCATGGATCGGCAGAAGAAAGAAGAGGAGAAGGAGCAGTCCGTGCTCAAGTAAGGACCCGGCTCCATCTTCCCGCCTCCCTCCCTGCCCTCCGCCCCCTCGGCCGCTACCCTGCGGCCGCCTGCGCGTCCCGGATCGCCGCCCTCCCTCCCGCCGGCGGCGTCCGGGCCACGAGGGCTGCGGGCCGCCGGGGCTGCTTTCGGGGTGTTTAGCGCGCGGTGTGTGTGTGTGTCTGTGTGTGTGCGCGCGCGCGCCTGCCGAGGCCGGCTGAGGTGAGGGCGGAGAGCCTTTGGGTGGTGTGGTACTCCCGGGTGCCCTTCCGGACCATCCCCTCCGGATACTTGGGCTCCGGGGCCCGGCTCCGCGGAGGCTGAAGCCCAGGCTCGGCGCGTCGCTTCTCCTTTCCCACCGCCCCCGCACCGAGGCAGTGACTGGGGCAAGGAATCCAATATGGCCGTGCACAGGTGCTCCCTGGCCGGACCCGAGCGAGGGCGCGCCGGCTGGGGGATGCGGGGACCTCTGGCCGGGCTCCTCCGCAGGGCGGAGGCTCCGCTCGCCAGCGCGAGGAACGGCCGGTCAGCCCACGGTCGCCGCGGGCGGGAGGGCGGCGGCGCGGGCCAGGGGCCTGAGCTGAGCCGCGCGTCTCGGGTGGGTGTGCGGCCGCCGCCATCTTCCAGCCCCTCCCCCTCGGCGAGTGCTGACACCCTGCACTCTGCCGCTCTTCCTGTTTGTAACTAGTAGATCTGTTCAATCCTGACGAGGCTCTAGTTTCTGCCCTGACTGCGATTTGGGACGCTGGCTTACCTCGTGAAGTTCTGCCGAGAGGCTGCCGGGATTCTGCCGGGGCGGGAGGCAGTGAGTGTAGCACTCGGGCGTCGGGTGGCCGTGTAACTTCAGCACCAGGGAACTGTCCAGACGGGCTTCTCGGGAGCCTCGGTCTGCTGCTCTCCACGGGCCGCCAAGAGGTGCCTTTCTACAGGTTATCTGATTCCTGAGTTACTGCGTGAAAGGGATTGTGCAGAAGGCGTGTGACCTTTTTACACTTTTCCGGTTCAGTTTTCTGTTTTGAGGTGTTACTCTCGAAGACATTAACTTGCAAGTTAGTCTTATGCATGTCATCAAGTAAACTTTCCCCGCATTCTCCAGTTAGTTAACACACTGTGGAGCTTTCCATAGAGCAGCTAAAGCCCTGACCTTTACTCGCATAACTTAGGAAAACAGGTTGTAGAAGCCGGTGTTCTTAAATGCACGTATAAAGAAATAGTTTTCTCAAATGTTTTCATATTTTAGTGAAAACCTCCAACTTAAGTACCAAACATATGAAATAGTCATACTTTACAGAAAGTTATTATTTAATCACAAATTGTTGAAGGGCTGAGGGAACACATCTATTTCTGACATAGCAACTGGAATTAAGAATGACTTCTCCAAACCTGATTTCTGAGTTTGAGCACTTGTTGGGAAGATAATGTACTATAGGCTTGTGAAATGAAAAAAAGAAAAAAATTAAGTAGCTTACTTCAGTTAATGAATGATAAAGTATTATTTTTAAAAAGCTTTTTCAGTATATTCTTCATGTGTCCCAACTTTACTGTGTATGTTACCAATGCCAGGCTTTTGATATTTAAATATATGAATTCATAATTTTTACTGTAAGTGCGAAATGTGTTTCCAAATTCATACTAGAATAGGATTCATTGTTCATAACTTCTACGCATCTATTTAAATGTAAAATATGTCTTTAAAAATAGTATGGTAAATGATGGTGTTTATTAGCCGCTTCACTATAGCTAAGAGTGTTTGTAATTTTAATAAACAAAATTTAATTGGGCTTTTGGATTTTGAATTAGGTTTGCTCAAAATGCACAATATGTTTTATTAGGAAAAATGTTGTAAAAGGGTTTTTCAGGCAGCCATGTGCGTGTACATTACATCTGTACGTAAAGTACATACTCATGAGAGTGCATATAATGGCTGTGCCTTTCTATTTGCATAGCTTAAGGGGGAACAAATATAATCTATGAAATTATAGCCACTGAAAAATACATTTTCAGGTTTATTTTAATTAGTTGCATTTTTTTACTGGGTCTTGGAAAGGAGCTTCTTCTCAAAATGGCCTACATGGCTTCAGAATTTTTACATTCCTTAGCCAAAAGTGACTTGGAGATTAAAGCATAATGTTTGAAATTTTAGTTTGAGATGTCCTTTAGAATGTTTACATAGTAAAATAAGAGTAGACAAGGAAAATAAAGACAAACAGACTGTATAATAGGATTATTGTAATGAGAGAAATCATTTTGAAGAAATTGACAAGTTAGGTATATATTAGTAATGGGTATTTAGTGATAGTAGTATTCTCCAATGATTACTCTTAATCATACACCTCTAGGGCTTGTTCCTCTGGTCATGACTATCTAACTCTTTGTTTAGTGTTGTCCATTTAATTACATGTTAATATCAACTCTGAGAGAAGGCCACGGGCAGAGAGGAAAAAACAAACTCAAAACCTATTTGCTTTTAACAACTTTGTTAAAAATTAAGTTGAATGTATGAAAAGGTTAAAACCGGGAGGTAAATGTTTTTACATGATTTATGAGTTTTAAACTTCATATTAAGTATTTATAGAAAATGAAATGGTCATATACCAGGCCATCACATCTTACAGAGGAATATAGGAAAAATATTGGAACTTACAGTTACATTCCTATTTTTATTTGAAAAAGATGTATTGAAAGTTTCATTAATATTTAATACATGGACCGACAATAATGAGACATATATACTTTGTAAATAAACATGTATATATTAAGAGATTGATAGCCTGAGATATTTTAATGAGCGGTGAGGAATGAGAGCAGACATGACCCCTGGAATGAACTATGGCCTTGGCAGCTCCCGGCCTGGGAAGTGACCTCTATTTAGTTGTCAGGAATTTCTTCAAAGCCCTATTGAGCATCCACAGAGAAAGTCTTGTGTCAGCATCAAATCACAGATTTTACATGTGACTGAGATCCTATAGTTTTAGAAACATTTTTACACCTTGTTAGGTTCCTATTCAGAAATTTGTTTTTAAAAATAGTGATGTGAATTCTGGTAGCAGTTTTGATGCGTTATTTAGTGTGTCAGTAAGATCTGTCATGTCCTTTTATTAAGTCTTTCAAGACTGTGAACTTATTGAGGGCAAGACTTGTAATTTCCCCTTCTTTGGTGTTTGTTCTGAACATCCTTAAATGCTTGTTCATAATATATGATGATGATTTGAACTGCGGTGATAATTGGATAGTTTACCACTTGTGTAGGAAAACAAAGGATTATTTGTTGAAAGAAAAACATACTAAATTAAAAGTTCTGTGAAGATACTTCAACAGTCCATGCAAAAGTTAATGTAAACATTTATTTTGGTATCCCCTACCCAACTTTCCCAACACTGAAATCAATCAATTCATAGGGTCTTTGGAAAAGATCATGGCGAATGTGTAAAAGAAACTATTCATGAATTTCAGCCTTTGCAACTATATATATATGGTTTTATATATATTATATTTATATACAAGATTTATTTTTATTGGGAAGTCAGATATGCAGAGAAGAGGAGAGATAGAGAGGAAGATCTTCTGTCTGTTGATTCACTCCCCAAGTGGCCGCAAAGGCCAGAACTGAGCTGATCGGAAGTTAGGAGCCAGAAGCCTCCTGCAGGTTTCCCATGTGGGTGCAGGGTTCCAAGGCTTTGGGCTGTCCTTGTCTGGTTTCTCAGGCCATAAGCAGAGGGCTGGATGGGAAGCAGGGCCACTGGGCTTAGAACTGGCTCCCACATGGGATCCCAGCACATGCAAGGTGAGAACTTTAGCCACTAGGCTAATGCGCCTGGCCCAGGACCCAAATTATATTTTATTTCTTGTTTCCATGAACTTTTTGGTTATTATCAATTGATTGATTTTGTTTTGGTATGGTACTGTGAAAAAGTTTGAGGAAAGTGAATCCACTACAACAATAGAAAAGTAAATTCAATAGTTATCTGTTGAGTTTGAACCATGTGCATATTGTAGTCCTTTGGGTAAACTGTTTTTGTAGCACATGTGTTTTTAGATGTGTATTTTATCTTTTCATTGTCAGTTTAGATTTTCTGTCAATGTTAAAGGGATAATTTATCTCCCCAGATAAAGATAAAACAAAACAAAACAAAATCAAGGTACCAACTGGCTTATTATTCACACAGATGATTAGTTCCAATTTTTTAAAACAATTCAATTTTCAAAGTGGGTTCCAAAGTCAGTTCGTAAAATTCTTCGTTCAACATATATAGCCTGCAGATGGTGCAAGATTTTGTGGCTGCTTATTTCCTCCACCCAGAGGCAGCGACTCTTCCAGAGACACTGTATGTGAAAGAGTAATTTCCTTAATTATGTCTACTTAAGATCTTTCTAATCATCTTGCCATTAGGAATAATATTGTGAAAATATCTTTGTTCTTGTACCATTTCCTACACATATAAACATAGTTCTGGGATAAATATCTGGAAATAAAATCAGTTGATCAGATTGTCACTGCATGGTACATCCTAGTAAATATTGCCAAAATTGACTCGTTCTCACACCCTTGCTGACTCAGTGTGGGCTATTCTTTGTCAATAGTTCAGAGAAATTATTCTGCTGTAAACTTAATTTGTACTTTTCTTATTAGTGAGCTAGAGCCTTTTACATTGCTTGATAGATAACTATGTTTCATTTCCTGTTAGTTTTAATGTGGAAGTTCTGTGTGATTTTAGATCTTTATTTATGCTTTTTAAAAATTTGTTGGATTAAAACTTATCTTGGAATTTATTATACCTTTGTTTCATGATTTTTCAATTTGTGATCTACCTAGAATGGCTTTCACGATTATAATATCCTTAAAAAGTGTTCTGTATTTTCTTTGCACCTAGCATGTTGATCAATGTTGCAATAAGCAAAAAGTATTCTTGTACATTTAAATTACCATTGCCTTTGCCAAAAGATTAAAACTTATAGTTTTCAAGAATTCAAAATGCATTCTAAAAAAATTGATTGACATT